GAGTCCAGGTGACATATTTATATTGCTGTTTGGTACCACAAGTAATATAATTTTCTATTGGTTTTACTATACACGTGGCATTCACGTGTGCAAAAAATAAGCCACATCATCAACAAAAGGGATCTATATTGGATTACTACTGCCACGTAATGTCACGTCAATTTTTGGGTGCCACGTAATGCATTTTTTAATGGTTTCGTAATGGCACGTTATAATATTGGGTTTTTTACGGGTTTTAAAAAGTGGAGGGTGTGAATAGGGAGGAAAAATTTTGGAAGGTGTTGACCACGGAAAAGAAATAAATGGAGGGTGCAAATAGGGGCTTTGGCCTTTGTTAAATAATAGAAGTCCTTTTCATTTACTTTTTGATAAATCTCCAAATTACTCTATGTTAAAGGTGTTTGGTTGCCGGTGTTTTCCTTATCTTCGCGACAATGCAGCTAATAAACTCTAGCCAAGGTCACTTCCATGTGTATTCATTGGATATAGTCCAATCCACAAAGGATATAAATGTCTACATCCTTCTACTCAACATGTTTATATCTCTAGGCATGTTGCATTTGATGAGCATTTCTTACCTTATATAGATCTAACAAACATTTCTAAGAATGTTGATACAGATGGGGAACTTTGCAAATACCCGGATTCTGATGGATGGCTCCAAGCTGTTTCACATTTACAGCCATCAAAGGATATAGATGACGTGCCTTCAATTTCAACACTAGCTCAACAATTCATAGATCTTACAAGTGAGGAGGAGCACTCTCAACTCACCATTGACAGAATTAGTGCAATTCCATCAGTTAATGAGGATGAGTCATCACAACAGAGTCAAGACAATGGAACAATAAGGACAACAGAAAATAATAACAGTCCTATGCTTGCTCCTACAGAAGAAAATCAAAGCGAACTAGTACCTGAAGACCAAGGAAATGAAATTCAATATCAAAGAACCCAAGAACAGTCTGGAAACTGGGAAATTATTGAAGTAGTGGTTTCGAATCGGAGTGGCGTGTCACCACCTTCTTACAACAATGTTTCTATTTCTACTCATCCTATGCAAACAAGAGCCCATACAGGAGCTCATTCTGGACATGTTAAAACCATATTTCCAAAGAATGCAAATACCATGGTAACTGACAAGTCTATTTTGCAATTTGTAGGTCCTGATATTATGGAACCTAAAGCAGTTCGAAAGGCACTTCAAAGCACACATTGGGTCAAAGCAATGCAAGAAGAAATTGATGCTCTGCATAAAAATAACACTTGGACGTTAGTGCCACCACCATCGGAGACAAATATAGTTGGGTCCAGATGGGTTTTCAAAACCAAGCTTAACCCAAATGGTACGGTGGAAAGGTTTAAAGGTCGTCTAGTAGCTAGAGGCTTTTCCCAAATGCCAGGAGTGGACTTTGAGTAAACATTTAGTCCTGTTCTTAAACCAACAACATTCCAGTTGGTTCTTGCCTTTGCGGCAACTCTAGAATGGCCATTAAGGCAACTTGATGTAAAGAACGCCTTCCACCATGGCAAGCTCAAGGAAATGGTTTATATGACACAACCACCAGGTTTTGAAGATCCCAAATATCCTCACTCTGTGTGTCAACTCAATCGCTCCATCTATGGTCTAAAGCAAGCTCCCAGGGCCTGGTTTGACACATTCCCACTATACCTACTAAAAATGGGTTTTCATTGTAGTCAAGCTGATTCTTCATGCTTTGTTCTTCATAATCCAAAAGGAACAGCTCTTCTACTTGTCTATGTGGACGACATTGTGCTCACAGCTAGCTCCGATGATTTACTTCAGAACATAATTTCTCATCTCAGTAGGGAATTTGCTCTTAAGGATCTTGGTGATCTTCGATATTTCCTTGGTATCGAGGTTGATAAGTTCTATGGTGGCATATTTCTATCTCAAGCTAAGTATGCTCATGACATTCTTACTCGAGCTTCAATGTTGGAGGCATCATTCATAGCTACTCCATTAGCAACAAAGGAAAACACTACCTCAAGAGATTGTGACTTCCTCATATTTGTCCAAAAGTATTATTGAAAAGCTTGCTCTAAATTACCATGCATGACCTAGGAAAAACCCCACCACCTTAAGTATTTTGACCATAGTTTTCATGCAATCAGGCAATTTAATAGCAAATGATCGACGGGTTAACAGAAGTCAACTCCCAAGACAAGAAGGAAAATGAGAGGGAGAGGGGGAAATAGAGAGAGGTTCGTCGGATCCGGAGCTCGGGGAAGAAGGTCAGCATGGTTCAGGGAAAGCTTCAATCATAGAAGAGGGATTCGAAAAGAGCAAGAACACGAGGCGGATGATGCGTTTAGGAACAGACGGAGGAACCAAGACATATGGGGCTGTGATCGACGTATATACAACCGAGCCACGGTGTTCTTCTTCACCAACTTTCCCGAAGATTGGTGCTATGAAAACATGTGGCAAACTTTTAAGAGATTTGGGAGAGTACTGGCCATCTATAGCCCACCGAGGAGATCAAAGAGGGGAAGCAGGTTTGGATTCGTCAGATTCCTTGAGGTCAAGGACGAATGGGAATTGGAGCAAAAATTGGACCAGATTCGAATAGGAGACTTCAAACTTTAGGTCAATAGACCTAAGTTTATGGAAAGGGAAAGCCTCAGGAGTCCGGTCCATGGGTTCAGCAAAAAAGAAGGCGTAAGAGGGCATAGGACGTATGCCGATGTTGTGAAGGGAAGCAGCAAAGTAGAACCTATTCGAGAGAATAAACAAGAAACAACCGGAGACCCAAATTTTCGGCAACAGATCAGAAGCAACTGGAAAAAATCCCCAAAACAAGTGTGGATTCCGAAGGCCAAGGAACAGGTGAAGCATAGCCTAGAGTTCATTGTGAAGGAGGATGACGTATCATGGCTGGAAGGATGCTACGTTGGGGTAGCTCACTCAGTTGAAATAATCCCAAACTTACAGGAAAAAATCTTTATGGAAGGCTATTTCTCCTGTAAAGTAAGAGCCATGGGAGGAAGCCTAGTGTTATTGGAGGGAGGAGACAAAGAGGAGATTAAGGACCTGGCTGAACTTGCTCCACAATGGCTAGGACAGTGGTTTTCGGAGATTAACCCTTGGAAATCATCAATAGTTTCCAGAGAAAGATTTGTATGGTTACGATGTCAAGGGGTCCCAGTCCATGCATGGAAACCAGAATTCTTCGCTTCTATTGGTGCAGTATGGGGTAAATTCATCACTCTGGATGACAGCACCAGTTTAAGGAAGAGATTGGATATTGGACGGCTTCTGATCTCCACTTCAACAATGGAATTCATTTCGAAGGTCATGAACATTAAGGTTAATGGGGAGCCTTTCATCATCAAAGTAATGGAAGAAGAGGCCTCTAATGGCACTTTTTCAATGAAATCCGATCATTTGTTTAAAATGTTGAGCGACACCGACAGCGAGGCTTCGGAATCATGGTCTTTGGAGTCCGTCCAAGAAGGCGGTGGGTCTAAGGGGTACCGGAGCTTTCTAGATGGAAAGATGGAAGATGATGACGTGGAGGAGGAGGACATTGAGACGGACACGGAATCAAGGGATGAGCTGGCTCATTCCCGTTGGAAGAATGGGCGGCAAATTAGAAAAGAAGACCAGAATTCGGCTGTGAATGACGTCTCAATTAATGCGGAAGGTTACCAAGAAGATTTAGCAGATAGTGGGGGAAGGAAAAATCAAATCCAAAGCCTCGGAAATCATGAAATGACGCCAGCAGATTGGGAAACGGTGCCAGAAACACAACCAAACGGTAATAGGGACCAGCATCGGGGGGAGGTGGACATTGGGCCATATAAGCTTGCAAACCCAATAGCTCTGGAGGGATGTGGGACCAACGTAGGCACAGATATAGCCCAACAGGAGAAGAATGGGCCGGTTGTCGTTGGGCCAACTTCAGCGGAAGACCGTTGCTTGCCGGAGGATAATGGGGCTGACCCAAAATACATTAATCGTGCAGAGGAGGAAGCATCATTTCAGAAGAATCAAGAGAAGAAGAACAGTAGCTCCAACTTGAGGCTCTCCCAGACGGTGCAGAAGGAGCCTAGCTTCTGGGAAGGCTTTTTGACAGAATCAAGATCTGAAAAGGAGTGGATGGGGCGAAAACACAAGAGGCTGAGCAAGCCAAGGAAGAAGAAAAGCAGATCCTGTGCGTCGATGCTCAGAATAGGAAGAAAGGAAGACCGGCGAATCAACCCAGTAAGAGGAGCAAAAGGATCAAAAATGCGAGAAGCCGAGGAGGGGTTGCCTAAATTCCACCCGGGATCTCAAAACCAAATGGCAGGCGAATCAGTTAATGACAGCGGAATCGTAAACAGAAATGAGATCCTGAAGAGAACCCAGGAACCTTGTAATGTGGAGAGGATCTGGGCGTTTGCAAAGGAAATTGGAGCAGGTCATGACGGGGATGAACAAGAAGTAATTCGAAGGCTTAAGGTCATGGAGGAAAGGGACAAGGAGCTATTCAGGAAATCAAAGGTTAGTGATGATGTTCGTGTGGGGGCTAATGGTATTTTTTTAAAATGATTTTCTTGTCTATTAATACCAGAGGATTAGGAGGGGAGGGTAAGAGATTTGGAGTGAAAGAATTAGTTATCAGAGAGAAGGTTGATTTTTTTATCTATTCAAGAATCAAAGACAGAGGCGGTAGATTTTCAGTTATGTAGGGCTCTGTGGGGCGCAGACAACTTTGATTGGGTAGCAAAGCCTGCAAGAGGGACATCTGGTGGTCTAATTTGCATATGGAATAAAGATATATTGAAGAAAGAAAAAAATAATTGAAGGGGAGGGATTTGTGGGGGTGTTCGGCTTTTGGGGGACTTCAGCAATTCCGGTATATATTATGAACGTTTACTCTTCATGCGAAATGTCGGGTAAAAGGGCTCTATGGATTAGTTTGAAAAACTTGATTTTGGGGACGGGTGGGAACTGGTGCTTGATGGGGGATTTCAATGCTGTTAGA